TTGAGTGGACCTTCTTGATGTGTCAACACCAGGTGTGACCCAGAGGTGAGTCACACTCAGATGAGTCACTAACACCCACTAATGTTCTAGTGTGGTGTGATTTTAATAGATTTACATTTAAAAGCCTAGGAATCACGTACTCTATTCAATTACAATTATTATCTGACTGGTGCATGTTTTTTAACTAACTTCTAAAACATTTTCCCACTCAGCGTTTGGGAGAACTCCCTGGTAGGAGGATGCTCTAAACCAGACCTAGACTGTGACTTTTCTAGGGCTTAAGGAAGTAGGGTCCGTGTCTTGGGGTTACTGTTGATGGTTGTGTGACCTGGGGAAAGTCCCTTCACCTCTCTGAGCCTTCAGTTTCTTCAAAGAAAATTGAAGCCAGCTGTCTCTGTGGCTCAAGCTTACTGGGGGCGGGGGGTGTTTATGGGAGACAGTCTTCACAAAACTCCAGGCACACTTCCCTGCGAGCTATAGGCACACACTAACAAGACTGAAAAAATTTCCCTGTGTCCAGCAAGAACACAGGGGCTTTCTTGTCCCTCCCAGAATGCTTCCCATGTGCAGACTGAATGTTCTGTGTCACCACCATCTTCTTCTCTGTCATGTTCCTTGAACAAAGAAACTATGAAAGTAGATCTCTCCTTGGGAGCCTGCCCTGATAGACAAGGACGCTACAGAGCAATTCAGAACTGGAAGCCCTTAGGACAAGGCTGAGCAACTCAGGCAATGACTCCGAACACATCCCAGGAGCCCACACCCAAGGATTCTCTTCACGTCTGTCCCCACTTAACACCCCGGCAAGAGCATGTGATAATGGCACTAGCAGGGCTTTATGTGACCGAGTAAATGAAAATCAGGTGCAGGAGCGTTGTGTGTTAGACTGGATGGCCGAGCTTTGTCACTGCTGAAAGAACAACCAAGAAAAGGGTTAAAGGAAGCCAGCTAAAGCAGCAAAGCAAGCCAGCATCCAGCTGCCTAGAGAATCCTGGGCTGTAGATTTCTAGGTGTGGGAGCTGGAAAGATGGCTTAGCAAATAGAAGCTATATGAGAATAAGGGTCTGAGTCCTGATCCCACCACCCATGTAAAACACTGTGGCAGGATGGGCACCCATAACCCCAGCACTGTATGGAGTTGCAATTGGGAGGATGTCTGGGGCCTGCTGGCTACTAGGCTAGCTCCAGGCTCAGTAAGAGACAGACCCGGCTGGGAAGGAGCAAAGTAGAGCATCTGTTATCTTCTCTGGTATCCACATGTGCATGCAGCCAGGCTCATAAGTGCACATATAACACATACATACACAGAGAGAGACAGGGACACACACACACACAAGAGAGAGACAGAGAGACAGAGAGAGAGAGAAACAGAGAGAGAGACACAGAGAGAGAGAGAGACAGAGAGAGAGCGCGCCAGGCAGGGAACATTCAAAGAACTGGATGTTCAAAGTCCTCAGGTTGGAATGAGGAGAACCAGCCATCCTCAAACATCAGCATGCTTATGAATCCCCTGAAAAGTGCAGGACCATGTGGGCTCCAGGCTGACTCCTGAGATTCCGATGGAGCAAGTCTGCCCTGAGAGCCTGGAATCTACATGTTCATGAGTGTCTAGGTTAGTTCAGCACAGGTGGTCCAGACCCACAGACACCAGCAGTCTAGCCCACAAAGCCCATTTCTGTTGCTTTGTTTTGAAAGGGATGAACACCTTTCCCGAAACAAAAGGCAGATAATGGAGAAGCTGAACTTTAAGCCTTCAGCTCGGTAAAATTTCAAAATAATTAATAGAGATTGGTTAGTTGCTAGAACATGAAGGATTCACGAGCGCACCATAGATTGGGTGAAGAAAATAAATTACACTTAGATGATTTAGTATTTCTGAGATGAAATAAATCTAATGGCTGAGTGAAAGGCAAAAAGTAAACCTCTATCATCTGAAGTTATCCGCTATGATAATATCTCAGCCACCCATTGTGTGGAGGAATCCCGGACCGCCAACATCAAAAGGCATTGACTACATTCAAGAACACATACTAGGAAGGGGCACAACCGCATCTGAAAAGAAATGGCTATTACCAACCCACATAAATCCAGAGAGAGGTGTTTGCGGTCCAAGGTGACCTAATATTTTCATAAATAACTCCAAAGATGGAGTGGGAATTATGCAAATCAAACCACAGACGATACAAAAATGGCAGGGACCGCAACGTCTGTGGAGAATGGAATTTAACTAGTGGGCAATGTCTTTAAATTTGCCTTTATTGAATCTTGTATATTGAAGTCACACGTTATTGTATCTGCTTATTGAGATTCGATGGGGCCAAACGCTGAGTGATTTATGGGAAGAAGGATAATCAAATGCCTCAGGAGAAAGAGTCTACACCTGGAGACCAGACCCAGTGCTGGACAAATAGGAAGTGACGGGAAGTGGTTCGGCGTGCACAGAGCACTTGGGTGTTCTCTGAAAATGGGGGTCATTCCAAGAACTGGTGGATAAATCAAACAAGGAAATATCTATCCTTTGAGCTACTTGGCCTCGTGCCGCTTCTGGCAGAAGTGTTTCCAGACGGGAGTTCAGAGCAGGATGATGGCACCGGGATTGTGGAGTAAGACAGATCCAAGTTCATGCAAGAATACAGAGGATGCAAGACCAAAATGCTGAGCATGCCGACTTGTTGGGGAAGGAGACACAAAAGACAAGGGGACGTGGCAGACAGAGCAGTTCCAGCTCTCACTAAGGACACACACAGCTGGAATGGTGGAGAAAGGGCGGCTAGTGGGTAGCGCCATCCCATGGGACGCTGAAGGAGGGCGACCGGACACCTCTCTAGTTAGGATGCATTAGAGATGATTAAAAGCATTTCTTGTCCAACTCAGGGGTGAGGGGGTGGGCTTCGTGACCTCTCCAAAGGTCACTTCTACGCCTAGGGATCACCTGTCTGAAGGGCACCAGATAAAAATAAAGTCCATTAATCACCAAGCTGTCACACAATGTCCTGAGAGAGCCAGAATGAAGAAGGGCAAACTGCAACAGACCTTGCTTTGCAGAGGGGGGAGGGTGGGAGGCGGTACGTATGTGGGCAGAGTCAAGGAAGCAGCTGCAGAGACTTCCGGAAAGCTGGTGCCATCCTGTGATGAGTCCTTCCAAGTCTTTCTTCAGGGGAAACAGGAGGAGGAAGTGGCCCTATAGGGAGGGGAGCAGAAAACAGCCAAGGACACCAAGGGGCCCTAAATAAAGCTGGGGGGATTGGAGGAGAGGATCTGCTAAAAGCGCAAACCAGGAGCCAGGAAAAAGGAGGATGATATAAGGGCTCTGAGCAGAAGAGGAGGGCCAGGAGCAAGGCAAGAAGTGAGCCAGGAGCCAGGCCAAGAGGAGAGCCAGGAGCTCTCCTTGGAACGCCACAAAAATTCTAGAAAGAGGCCAGAGAGTCGGCTTAGCTGGTAAGTGCATTTACCACCAAGCCTGATGACCTAGGTTTAATCCCTGGAACCCACAGGGGGAAGGAGAGAACCAACTCATTGTCCTCTGCCCTCCACACAAGCCATTGCATGTGCGCATCCCAGCCACAGACATACAATCCATCACCTATCAACGCAATCAGACCTTTTTCTGAAGTTGCAGAAATAGAGTAAAAAGTTAATCCCACTATCTGTAACAGCAGAAAAATCACATATTGGGAAACAGCTTTTTAAAAGAGAAACGGAGTAGTTATGTCTCAGCTTCAAAGCAAGAGCTGGCACTGTTATTCGGGTGCCGTACACAGCTGGAAATCCTACCCTCTGCCCAGTCTCCCAAGGACCAGCAAGCTTGGGCTGTTCACATATCAGAACCCAAGTAAATGCCATTCGGAAGTGAGGCCCAGACCGAAGCTGGAGCTTCCTGCCAAAAGCCACCAGACCCCAGGCACTGATCCCCTCTCTTCCTGGAACACAATTGCTTAGGATGGCGACACGACCTGCAGACATCTCGGGAATGCCATCTGCGTGGGGTACTAAGCAGCCAAATGAACGCCATGGAGTTTGAGTTCTGGCAAAATGTACCCCACCAGACGTCATCTCCACAGGGCACAGAATATCTTGAAATTAAGAGGCCAGTGAGGGGACCGGGGGAAGGAACCACCCATGTGCTCCTTATGTACTATCCCCTGGCTTTCTTTGTCCTCGCAGAGCTGCAGGATCAGACAAGATGGAGAGGCACCCAGAGGGACCACCATGCCACGCCCTGCCTTGTCTAGCTTTCTGCTGTTCTCAGAGCAGCCTGGTCCCTGCGGCCAAGCTCTGGGTTTCAATAGCAGATGAGAAGGGAAAGGAAGGTCCCCAGGCATGTGCTACTGATGGCTAGTCTTGCCATAGAGTAAGCAGAAATGCGCAATGGAGTGACAGCCAACAGGGCACGGCTGTGGAACCTACCCTGGCACGTGAGGAAAAAGAAAGCTACTGCCTTCTTGGTGACCACAGTCCCTCCTTGTCCCCCTCCCTTGGCCTCTAACCTCAGACTCTAACCCAGAAGCCAGGTAACTACTCTTCCAGTGATATTTCTGAATCAGGAGGGGGAGGGTGGAGATGAATCGAGGGCCATTCAAGCCATCGTCATATAAAGATTCATAACCAGTCCTGCCTAGGACAGGAGAGGAGAGAGAAATGGAATTAGAGGGAAAGAAATGGAAAGTGACGGGAGCCAGTCACCTTTGTCGGAGAGTTTAGGGTGACACGTTTGTTTGTGATTCTGAACTGGAGAAAGATGTGGAGGATGAGTCTCGAAAGAGACAGAGAACGTGGGAGAACGTAGGCGGAAAGCCAGAAAGAAGACCTGGCATCCTGGAGGGCAGCCGGAGAGGGTGGAGTCCCCTGCCAGACTGTCCACGGTGCCCAGAGCCCCACTACAGCAGGGACAACAGGAGGGAATGTGGCCACCCAGAGCTGGAAGCAGAAAAGCCTGGTGCGGCCCAGAGCTGCCAAGGCAGCGTAGGAAGACTGGCTGACACAGCACACAAGATACTCACTGTCACACACGTAGGGTTTGTCATGGTCTTCCTGAGAAGCAGCGTCATGCCTCCTCCTGCCGCCTGCAGAGCCACGAGCCTGAGGAGACATTGAGCATGAGACACTTGTTACCACAGCCACTCAGCTCATGGGCATACACTCTTGAGGGCCCGCGTGAACCACCTGCATCACAGCCCCTGTTCCCATGCCAACCCTGCTTTACAAGCAAGACAACGGAAACCCAGGGGATCGGGTAACTTGTCCCAAATCACTCAGCTACTCACCCGGCTCGTCCTATTATTTTCATAATAACTCCAAGAAGGAGGTTTATAATAGTGGTCCTCTTGTATAGGGGACAGAGGCAACAGAGAAGTGGAGTAACTTCCCCAGGGCCATTCATCTGCCAAATGCAGAGCCAGACTAGAAACAGGACGTGTGACTGAAAGGAGATGGCCTGGCCCGACTATGAAAATCCTCAGCTAGCGGCATTATTCTGGTGGGGGTTGGAGGATGGGGAGCAAACTGGACTATGTAGGGAAAACATGGGGTTACATCTTTAAAGGTTTTACTTGTCCTGAGCACCCTTCTTCCCGCCCCTCTTGGTTTCCCAGTTACCGTGAGGGGAACTATTTTTTTGTGCAGCCATGTACTCTCGCCATCGTGAGGGTCTGACTCCCCGCAGACACACAGCAATGGAGAAAGCCAACAGCGGATGACCCCTCTGAAGCCGTGAGCCAAACTAAAATCCCACTCTCTCCAGGGCTTTCCCACAGCAAGTCTAACTGATGCAGTCCCATATCCGTCAAATACAGGGATTTCTACTTTTCCACCACACAGCACCTCTCTACTTCACTGACAGTGTAGAAGACACCACGCTGCTTGCTGTACACGCTAGTCACCTGATGAGCACCCTGGGGGTGGGGGACAGGGAGTAGAAGTACAGTGTCCCCCCAGGTTCCTGGGCTCACACTGCCTCCTCCACCATGTTTGACCTTCACAGTAGGGGTGGGCTCCTGTAAGAGGTCAACCTCAGGCCTCCAGCTGGGGACCTTAACCTTCAAGGTCAATTAGAGCTGGATTCCTGATACCCACCATAGCCCTGTGTCTCCCTGTGTGGGTCATGTGACCAGGGGGGACTGTGATAAGAAACAAGACTTCAGGGGTAACAGAGACAAGACTGAAAGGCTGCCAACAGCTCTGCATCCCAAACAGCGGCTACCAGAAAAGAGCAAGGCTTATTTATAAGCTACCATAAGCCCCATGCCGGCCTTCCTGCCGCACCTTAGCCTCCTCCAGGTCAGGCGTTGCTAATGGGTAGCAGTAAACTCCCAGCCATGGAAAGGGCTGGCTGCAGTCTTCGGGGACAGAGGGGAAGGTCAGCAGGAGAGGAACACGACAGGGCAGAGGTCTGGAGTGCCAGCCCAGGATCTGCTTAAAGGGAAGTGGGCCTGAGGATTCATGGTGGAAAGGCCTGGGATGGATTCCCCCACACATACACAATCACAAATGTAAGTCTTCACATCTTTCTGGGGGCGTCCCTGTAGACAGGCCTACTCTCCAGGCCTGTGGCACTCGTTCTCAAAATACATGCACCTCACAATCAACTCCACCTGCCAAACTATCACTTTTGTCTTCTCCTCAGCTTGTCTTTTTGGAAAAGGAAAAAAAAAATGAAATTCCACCTCCCTCCTCCTCGCTACCTCCCTAGCCCAAGCCCTGCTATGGAGAGTCAGTAGCAGTTCCCGTCCTCCTTTCCCTCCTCCTCCTCTCCTCCTCTTCCTCCCCATGCCCTCGTTATGCAGAACTAAGCCCCGGAGGAGCTGCAAACTCTGGCCGTCACCCTGAGGCACTGACAGACACTGTGTCTAGGATGCTAAAGGTGGTCACCTTAGGGCCCTGGCCCTCCCCGCACCTCCTCAGTGAGGCCAGAGACAGCTTGACATGCACAGCCGGCAGCCCTGTCACAGCTCTCTGGAGCAGGTAAAACTAAGTCAGGCAGAATGACGAGGCCACAGCAAATGCCAGAAGGGGCTCTACAAGACTGGCCCTGTGTCAAGGCAGGAGAGGAAGGGAGAACAGGAGCACCTGGGGCTTCTGAGGGAGGCAGCAGAGGGAAAGGAGGGTGCTGCTGGGAGCCAGGCTCCCTCCCCCTGCTGCTGGGCTGACCAGCGGGGAGCTGCATGCACCCACACTCCACATGCACTGGTCTTGCCCAATAGAGATAAGGGCCATAGGGCATCTGAGGCGATGCATGTGGGTTCTCCTAAGGTAATGGAATTCTTCATCTCCTGGAAGACGCAAGCTCATCAACCCAGAATCCTATGGGTCTTGCTCAAATGCCACTTCCTCCAAGAAGCCCTCCCCAGCCCACTGGTATCTACTTGCTTCATTCTCTCTCTGCCTCTGTTTTTTGTCTGGTCACAGCATTGTCGTTAACCGGCACTACATGGACATGTGTTAGCTCATTTGTTGATTTTTTTATCTGTCCCACGAGAGGTAGAGTCCTGCGTGGGCCACCACTATTCCTGGAACCAAGTACATTCCTTAAATGGTTGCCAGGTCATTGCATCAATCCATCAGGCCACTGTTAAGTTGACCATTCTTCTTCCTCTTCCTCATCTGTATCCCAGTGCCCAAAGGACATCAGCTGATCCTGAACTCCCCAGGAAAGCTCCCGGCCGGGGCTCTACCTCCCCACTGCCCAGCCTAACCCATCCTGCATGACCACCTGCCCAGAAGGAATAAGAAGTGGGAGCATGAGGTCTTCCATTGCCAGCTGTGACACACATGCATGGCCAATGGCAGCCTACCACCAACCCAACAGTCTCACCCCAGCCTCACGCTGTGTCTACGTCTTTGTTTTCATGGTTTCTTTTATGGCCACCTCCACCATGCCATACACCGCCAACCTACATTTCAGCCCGGCCAGCGTCCCACTCCTCCCAAGACCCTCCTGCCGCACTGCAGAGTAAGCCAGCTTTGTCTTGAAGTCTGATGGGCCTAGACTTCAATCCCAGCTGTCTTTGTCAGATGTTCGTTACTATAACAAAAAGCCTGAGGTAAGGACTTTGGTAAGGAAAAGAGGTTTATTTTGGTTCATGGATCTGGGGGTGCAACTTGTTGGGGACTCATCTCATGATACCCTTCTTGCTACCAAAATCCATAGGTGAAACAGGGAGATCGCATGTGTTTCTCTTTTACCCCTTCTCCCTCTTCTTATTGACCCCCAAGAACCAATCAGGAAGCTTGACCCTGTCCTTACTTAATAATCCTAGCCATTTTCCAAAGGCTCCTTCTAAATGCTACAGCCATCCAATCTCTGACTTCTCCACATCTCCCGAAGGATTTTAAATGTCAGCACACAAAGTCTCACAGACACACAAGCCATATCCAAACAACAGATAGCACCAGCTGTGTGTCATAGAACGAGCTACCCCTCTGAGCCTTAGCTTACTTATAAAATGGACAACGACAGGCCAGATATGTGGGTGCATATCTGTTACCCCAGCAGTCAGGAGACAGGGGCAGAAGGAATACTGCAGGTTTAAACCAACCTGGTCTACACAGAAAGTTCCAAGGCTACTTAGACTGTGTCTCTCTCAGTCAATACAAATATAAGTGGATAAATAAATGGACAGAGAAACACCCCTGCAGCACAGTTGCTGTGACAGCTAGGGTTAGGAGTGTCAAGCCACAGGACATAGCATTAAGCCCACAGGAAGTGTTCAGTCAGTTCTTGACCCCTCCATGACCGTGTGGATCCTCTGGGCTTCATGTTTGGTTAGCACGCCATGAGAAGTCTGCAGTACTCTTACTGTATTGTGAGTCTTAGCATCTCCCCAGTTTGAGTCTTGAGTCCTTGAGGGAAAATATGGCATTTTATAGTTTATCATGAACCCTATCACTCTGCTGGGTGCACAACACAAAGCTCTTCCACACATATTAGCTCAGGGGCTTCTGGAAGAGTCCTTTAAGTTGGGACCAGTCATGCCCCTGTCACTGCCTTGCCAATTGGTGCCAGTTATGAATGAGTCCATGACTTGCCCACAGTCCCAGAGCCAGTGGGATGAGCAGGACAGGTTTCTAGACTCTGATATAGAACCATTTGAACCTTACCCTCCAAACGTGACCCGTCCTCCCTCCCTGAGGATGCTCATCTTTCCATTCACACACTGGGGGCCCTGTGGGACAGTCTTACTGAGCACAAATGGGAAGGCTCAGGAAGAGTCAAGTAATTGCTATCCCAAGCCTAATTTAACTCCAACCTGGGTCACCAGAGTCTACCTTTAAGGGACTTGGAACTTGAAAGCAGTGAGCTCTGTTGGTCACCTGGATTGAATGGATTCATAAACTCAAAAGCTCTAGAGTCCTGTATACAGAGGAGCTAGGAAACCCAGGTAACAGAGAGAAGAGAGAGGACGCAGAGGCCACAGACATGATCCCTAATCTCCTCAGTCCTGATTCCGTCACCTCCCTACCCTTCTTGTGATCTGGATCTTCAAAGATCACTCACATTTGGGACAGTGACCCTAAGGTTTCAAATCCTTCTCATTTAAGCTTAAAGCCATTGAGCTTCCTATAACAGAGACCCAGAATGAAGACAGACTCCAGGCAAGGGAAGTTAGTTTTTCTACAAAAGCTGCTCTCGAGTAGTATCCAGAGATGAGCATCAGGCCTCTTCCCCTATAGGCTGGAGATAATGGCTCCCCAGTTAAGAGCACTTGCTGCTCTTCCAGAGGACCAGGGTTCAGTTCCCAGCACCCACAGTTGGCTTTACAACCAGGAGATCCGATGCCCTCTTCTGGCCTCTGAGGACACCTGCACTCATTGCACATGACCACACAGGCATAATTAAATAAATATTTTTGACAAAAGCTATTCTCCTGGTGCCACTAAAAGACGAATCGCCTTTTTCATTCTCATTTTCTCACGAGCATACAGCGGGGTTTTCCAGAGGCTACATGACATTTGACAGGGCCTTCAGTGTGCTCCTGTATATTCATGAGCTGCATTCATAAGCTGAGTTTTGTCTTAATTTCGAATAGAGCACATCATTAGGAGATTAATGCCACCTGTTATGCTCAGAACAATAGCTTTGAGGGCTGTCAGTATTTGTTAAGGGTGGAAAGAATTCCTGAGGCAGAGAGAGAAGGGGAGGGGACCGCTCAGCTACCTTGCCATTGAATGCCAGGTCGTCAGACCAGCAACACCTGGGAGCTTATTATCATCCAGGCAAGGACTTAGCCCCCACACTCCAGAACTAGCACACCAGAATTTGCTCTTTGGCAACACCCCTGGGGTTGGGGGATATTTGATCCCACTGTGAACCCTGAGTTTGCATTTGTGTTCATTAAATAAAATTAACCTGGGGTCAGGAGGCTGTGTTAGCAACTAGGAAGTAATTGTAGCACCTCAGAGCACATCCAGGATGGAGAGACACAGGAAGAGATACAGCGGGGTTTGGGGTGATGCAGGTTTTCCTGGTTTGGCGAAGCAGAAGCATGGGTCTTCCTTGCATGGCAGCAAGGAGAGAGGGTTAGCTAGCTGCTGCTCAGCCTCTATGGGCTCACAGGTGTTCACCCCAGTCTTTGACTCTTGAGTCTCATTCGTAACTAGGACGATAGAGATTTAGTTAAAGCTACCTTTAGTGGCAGCAACAGGGCCGGTGCCTGCGGAAGCTGGATTATCACCAGGCTGCAGCCTGAGAGGCCAGGTTGCTGCCAGAGAAGCAGGCTGGTAGCTGTGGAGCTGCAGTTGCTGGCTGAGATAGCAGTAGATTAAGGTGCAGCCACTGTGCTGAAATTAAACAACACCCTGGTGTCTTTGCTCACCACGAGTGCACCAACGATTACTAATTTGATTGCTTGATAATACAAGGATTAGTCGCAAGAACTGCATGAATGTCTTAGGTTAAAGTTGACGTTGGCACAATTATTAGTTGTTGGGTTTGTACTGTCCTTTCCCCTCAGAAAACATATGGGATTAAAACTCAGAAAGTTAGCCACTTTGCTTCCAAAGGCTTTATTGGGCACTCAGTTTTGACTCTGTGCTATTATTCCCAACTGGCTGATGGCCCAGGTCACAGAAGTTACATGATTTACACAAGGTGCAGTAGGTGGTAGAGCTAAGATTGGCTTCAAACTCACTACTGAAGGCCTGGCCCCCCTCCGCGTGTCCGGAGCAGCTAGGGTCTTGTCAATGGTATGTTGGAGGTTGGGCTGCTCCTGCGTTCCCAACAAGCTCCCGGGTGAGGATGAAGCTGTAGCCCAGACCACACAGGCAGATGTCAGGCCTCATGTGGTTGCTCCAGTGGCCAGAAAGTTCCAGCGGCAGCTGCACACCCATGTAAAGGCTCAGAGCTGTGGGCAAGGCAGCTTCCCACCCCTGTTCGGCCCAGAGACTCGCTCACAACACCCCTGCTTCCTCCATGGCTCTCAGCATGGTGACATGCCCACAATGTCGCTCACTGCATAACCAGAGCTATTGGCTGTCACCCAGTCATGAAGTTCAAACATGACTTTTCTCCTTGCCCTGCTCATCCAGTTCATTCATTCAGCCTAGACATGCAGGGTCCCGGGCCAGGCAGGACTCAGTAGGAAAAGCATAGACTTGTCTTCAAATTCTTTCTTTCTGACCAGATTGAGCAACACTGAGCAAGCTGCTTAACCTTTCTAGAACACCAAGCCACACTTGTGCTGCCACATTTTCTAGTAACTGCTTTTCTGAAAGGGATGAGATGAGCTAGCTGGCAGTGTATCTCAGTGGTTAGCGGCCAGTTAGCACATTTAAACCTGGCCTCAGCCCCCAGCATCCCCAAAACCAGCAAAAATAAAAAAATAAAATAAAATAAAAGAGAGGCGTGCTTTGATCTTAGTAACATTTTAACCAGGCATAACAAAAGTTATTGTTAAAAACATAAAAATTAACAGTGAGGTGTTCTGAATTCTTTTCGTCACTCTAAGACATCAGAACGTAGTACCTATTTTGTATTTACAGCTCCTTCCAACCTGGACTAGCATGTGCTGGGAGCCATGTGCAGCCAGTGGCTGCTGCAATGCAGTCTCAGAAATGGAGAATGCAGAACATAAAACCCCCAGAACAGCCTCATGGTTCTCTATCGTGGGCTCACTCAGGAGCCCTTGACTCTGTCTGGTTTGGAGTGTATATAAGGGCCAGGCGGTGCTGCCGCTCCTGACAGCGCCACGGAAAAGACAGCCAAGCCCTACTCACTAACGGCAATTTCCATCTTCGACACTCATGCCCGGAGAACCAGAACCATGCTCCACAGTGTACTCTTCAAAGTCTGGCAGGGGCAGGAGAGGGGTGGAAGCAGGTTGGGAGGTACACAGCTTTTGGCATTCACAACAGGCACAGCAACTCCATGCCCCTATGCCTCCTTCAGGGACGAAGTAGATGTTTCTTTTATTACTGCCGCGCACACACCACAGTGAAATAACATGGTCAAGCAAGTTCATCCGCAGCTGCAGAGAACCACTAGGTGAAACCCTGGTGAGGAACATCATAGGAGAGAGACTGGGCCGCGACAGCCGCCCTCATCAGTTCAAACACCGCTAAAGGCAGAACGGCAGGCAGCTTGCAACCTACACACCCGAAGTGATAAGAAGTACGTATCGCCACCCAGGAAGGATGTTAACCCCTCAGAGTAGACACACGCATACACACAGAGATCCTGGATCTAGTCAAATCTCCAAGCAACCGTACTGCTTCTTGATGCACAGAGAACATGATCCAAGACACCCCGTGGATTCCTGAACCCCAGAAAGTATTATATGAGCCCTATAATTGAATGCCTTGTCCATCTTAACTAAGTGTTTATCATGTACCATGACCCCAACTTCTGTTCTTCTGGGGTGAAAGAGCAAATGTAGCACAAATCCATTTCTCCTTCACAGTTTCACAGGGAGAAGGATCATTCCTACTACAGAGTTTGCCAACCTTAGCATATAACACTTTCCTCAAAACGTAAGAAGAGAACTTATGCTCTTTTACTTCAAGGAAAGTACTGATGGACTCTCTTTGACATATACGAATTGTTGGTATCATAACAATTGCACTTCTAGGCTGGTAAGTATAATAAGGGTTATTTGAACATAAGCACAGCAATACAACCAGCCTATCTGATATGGCAACTGCTAGATCATTAACATGCAGGCAGCATATATAGAGCAGACATGATATATATATATATATGCATATATATATGCATATATATATATGCAAGTGTAGTTAGTAGGCATTAGAACAAGGAATATTTGTGCCTTGTATAAAAATACCTAATAGAGGTACCCACTGGGCTATATAATGAAATGTACAGGATCTACTTTCAAATACTCTAGTGGGAAACAAGAGCATAACCCAACAAACAATAAGTAGGAGAAATGAATGCATTTGAGAAAATGGTGGAAATATTGGTAATTGATGAAGATGGTAGCAGCCTGATAAAACTGCACCATCTGAGAGCCAGCCTGCCCCAGACTGAGAACTGAGGCCCTTATCAACAGTGGAAGCATCTTAGCACACAGCGTAGCCAGCACTAGACAACATGGAAAGACGTTTATACAACCTGGGAAGATGTTTATACTAGAGCTCAAGGCCTGATCCCAGACCCAATAACTGAACACGGGCCCTGGGTGCCTAATTTCAATAGATCCTCTCCGTGGCACTACTGTCTACACAGTAACTATCAGTGGGCCCAGACCCACAGGGCCCACAGGACTGACTTCTCACCCATTGGTAGGGGTGGTCCTACCTAGAACTAATAGGAGCTAGACCCTTGGCCCTCAAAAGTGGACTCTCCAGTGAAGAGTCATAGTCCTCCCCTGGAGGTCCCCCTCCACCCGGTTGTCATGATGCCCTTGGATGTCACTGGGGGTGATCCCAGAACACTTTCCTGAACCAGACCCTAGAGAATCAAATAGAACTTCTGAAGACACGGTCTTGGTCACTCCCTTCCCTTTGGGAACTAGCCAGGGTTTTCTTTCTCCCCATCAGGGTTTCTCTGCCATTTCCACCTCTGACCCTTTCCTTGTTCATTTCGGGACCACGTGCCTCTAAAGTTCATGGAAAATCCATTCAGGGGAAACACCAGTCAGTCTGCCTCCTTCCCCAACCGGCTTCTGCTCTCTCTGCCCAGGGAAGCATGTCCCAGGGCAGGGGTCCTGATTCTGTCATTCTGGAAAAAAAAAAAACTCTAGAAACAGCAGGACAAGACCTCCTTTCATAATGGGGTCTCAGAAAACTCTCCTCACCCTCTGCTCTCCCGAGCCGAAGCCCCTCAGAGAGACCTCTGCTTCCCCTCTTGCCGGCTCTGAACTTTCCAGTCATGCCCAGCCTGGGCTTCCCTAGCATCTTTCTCGTCTCCAAGTAAGACCATCAGAGTGTGTCTATCCAGGTAGGGAGGGGACTACTGTCAACCCCAGCAGGCCTTGGCGTTCTGAACTCCTCCCTCGCGCCCCCTCCCCACTTACCCGTCCTCTGGTCCTGTTCTTCCGCTTGGGAATGTCCTCCTCCAAATCCTCCTCTTCATTCCCTTCTTCTACATTTTCGTCATTTTCCAAAACCCTCTAAAATGACAAGAAAATCAAAGACGAGACTTGAGAGATGAAACGCCACAGCAGGGAGAACCATCAAAGGGTGCGTTGGGGTATTCTGGAGTTTTGTTCTTCAGCAAAGCAGGGGTACTGCTGCCACCGAGGAGTGGGACGTCTCTTTGCAGCTGGTACTCCTTCAAACCCTCAGGCCCCTTCCAACCAAATCTTGCCAGAATACTGGCCTTTCTCAACTCGTTTTAGCCCCCACTCCCTAAAAAGAGGTTTTTGGCAAAAGCCTAAGAATGCTTTCCCACATGGGGCCAAGTTGCCTTATCAAAATCCTTTAGTTCTGAAAGGCCACCTGAGAACATAAAAAAGCCATTTCTCCTTTCTCTACCTTTGTGAAACTTTGCCCTGCTTGATGAAAGTGAGGAACTTCCTGTCTAACTGGCCAAGATACAGCCTGAATATGCTGCCTGGAGTAATCTACTGTGGAGCTTTTTTAAGAAAAATAAATTTTCCTCAGGGTGTTGGTGACACGGGCCTGTAATCCCAGCACAGGAACAGGAGTTCAAGGCCACCCCCACCCAGTTACATAGAATCTAAGACCAGCCATGATCACGTGTGAGGCTCTGTCTGGGGGTGGGGGTGGGGAAGAATAAATAGATTTTCAGCACAGTCCATGACTTACAATAAAGCTTTAATTTCATACATTCAAATGAGCCCCTCTAACAGCCCTCAGAGCACGGCAGTTTACAAAGCCAGTTTCCATTCTAAAGGTGCATAAACTGAGGCTAACAACAGTTTTGATGTTCACAGTCATCCAGCAAGACCATGACCACAGCAAGGTCAGCGTGGTTAGCTTCGCTTCCCACTCCTTCCCCAGGCCTTGCTACTGAGACTCCTCAGGGGCCTTGCAACAGACACTCAGGCAGAACCTGAGCATCATTCCCTCCACAGACAGAAAAGGGGGGCAGGAAATACACCTCCAGATCAAAGGTGAGGTAAAGGAGCAGAGAGGACCCAGTCTACCAGGGAGCAGGATAGGAAGAAATGGTCTTGGAGCCCAGTCAAGTCCATGTCAGGGACCCACAAGGTGGGAGGAGCTTTTTGTGAACTCATGTCCCCTGAGAGTTTGTGAACTCTCAGTGGCTGATAACATATGGTAGTTTAGTGAGAATGGACCCCACAGGATCGTATATTTGAATGTTTGGTTCCTAGTTGGTTGAACTGTTTAGAGAGGATTAGGAGGTGTGGCCTTGTTGGAGGAAGTGTGTCACTGGGGATAGGTTTTAAGGTTTCAAAGCCCATGCCAGCCCTGCCCCCTCTCTCTGCCTGTGGATCAGGATGTGAGCTCTCAGCTACTCCTCCAGAACCATGCCTGCCTGCCTGATGATGATGATCATAGGCTAACCCTCTGAAACTGTAAGTAAGATTCCAAGTAAATGCTTTCGTCTAGAAGCAACCTTGATCATAGTGTTTCATCACAGAAATAGTAACCCCAAACTAAGACACAGCACTCACAGATAGCTCAGCCAACCTCAACACCAAAGAGAAATGTCCTTATCTGCTAGACGCGGCCTCTGGCCCATAGCTAGAAGATGCTGACTGGGGTCCAGAGCAAGTGTCTTGGCTTCCTGACCTTAAAATGGGATCACTAGCCGGGCTGTGGTGGCGCACGCCTTTAATCCCAGCACTCGGGAGGCAGAGGCAGGCGGATCTCTGTGAGTTCGAGGCCAGCCTGGTCTAGAAGAGCTAGTTCCAGGACAGGAACCAAAAGCTACGGAGAAACCCTGTCTCAAAAATCAAAAAAAAAAAAAAAAAAATGGGATCACTAGTCAAGCCAGGCAAGGCCAGATCAGATGCTCTACCACCTTGGATAAAAATCGTGGGATGGATGCTAGGTACCACTGTGGGTACTGCTGTTGGCTGTATCTTACAAACCTCCCAGGTCTTGAACCTATCAAATCACAGCAAGTGCCAAGTGCTGGTACCTAAAGGCCATTGCCTCGGGCATCTCAGTACATTTCTGATACCCCTGTCAGGTGAAGACCATCGGGCAGGTTCCTAAGTGACTTACGGTCTCTCGGTTCGGGAACAATCTGATTGCCCCCCGAGGTTCCATCCTACTTGACGTCAGCTTGTAACTCTAGAAGCCGGAGTCTAAAACACCAGCCTCCGAGACACTACCCCTTGTGCTGTCATTTCCTGCCATGCAAGCCTGAATCCAGAAGCCCAGCTCCCCAGCTCATTCCATGGGAGGAGACACCGCTGGAATTCAGGATGGGGAGCAGGAGTCAGGAGGTAGGAGTGAAGGATGGGGGACAACCAACAGAACTGACTCCTCCCCACCACCCTGTCACCTACTGGCAGCCCCTGTCAATAGACATCTGAAAATCAGATACACTGAAAATACCTTTCCCTGCTATTACTCTAGATAGCCTTGATTGTAATGGTGACAATGATTTGTGCTTGTGTTTTTAACAGTAAAGAGGGAGAAAGAAACAGGGAGGAAGAAAGGAAAGAGGAAGGGAAGGAAGGAGGGATGGAGGGAGGGGGAGAAGGAGGAGGGGAGAGGGAGGGGGGAGAGGAGGGAAGGATCTCCTAACTGATCAGTTCAACCACGGCCCCTGCACTGTCTCCTCTCCATGCAGGGCAGGAATGGGAGGAATCTTTATAAAATCCAAATTCACTGCCCTGGACAAAATCCTCCAATTGGCCTCCTTCTCGTTTCACACGAAGCCAAAAGAGCCACAACTAGGTCTCCTGAGGCCTGAAGGGGCTGGCTCCTGCCCACCTGTTCTGCCTCCCCACCCCCAACACTGTACTCTGACCACAGGGCCTTCTATCTGTTCACTGGACAAGATGGGCACTGACCTGTCTCAGAGCCATCACCCTAGGGATCTTACATCACTGGTTCCCATCATCCCACAGGAACGTGGTTAAACCCATGTCCCCTAGGACACTACCTAAACTCTGCCCCTCCTTCAGCGCCGCTTCCTCCTGCTGGCCTTCATTCATCCAAAACTGCAATTCTCTTATTTGTTCGCTTGTTTTCCTAACTGCATGAAACGCTCAAATTCAAGTGGCCACCAGCACCCCAGTCCCTGTTCAAAAGAAGCCACTTCTATCAGTCAAGTGCATACGTGAATTGTTGAGTAAACGTGAACGGAAGAGAACACAGTCGATTTATTATCTATGCCATTTTGCAATGCAAAGTCAATAAGAACTTAAGTGGTTCATGGTCTACTTTCAGCTTCATGCAACCTGGACAGCACAGTCCCACACTGTGCACTGGCGGCCACACTGCCAACACCAGGATTGATGCCATGATGGTGATACGGTAGCAGCATGTCTCCTGACCCAGAACCACATGAAAGCAATTCAGACTTGCTCCCAGCTTTACAGTATGTCACTAGCTATCTGGGCTTCTGGGCACCGGCTCTGTACCAATCACTGATTCTGTCAAAGTACACTAATAGTGCAAAATACTAGCAACGGGGCAGCAGGGCATACAGAGATGACACGCCTTGCTTCACACTCTGCAAGTCCAAACACGGGGACTAATGCACAGCTAGCTAAGCACACACACAGTGAAGAAAGTGAGAAGTGTCCCAAACGCCTAAGTTTAAAATGTCTGCTCTGGTTATGGGGGACCAAGAAAGGTTCGATGGGGAAGGTGGCACTGTGGCCGGGCCTAACGACTGAATGGAGTCATAGGTGGAAGAAAACATGGACCAGAGGCTCAGAGAGAGACAGCTGAGGAAGGGGAGATGGAGTCTGAACACCAGCCTAAAGCAGAAAGGGGAAACCCAAGAAGCCCATGGCTACCGTGCTAGATTTATTTAGTGGAAGCAAAGATATATTAGGAAGGAGGTGATAGAGGCAGAACTGTGCTTAAGACTAAAGAAGCAAAGCAGGCCAAGTGGGACAGAGGGAGGATCAGAATCAGGGTCTCCAGTCATCCACTCAAGCAGGTGTTTTTGTGCACCTGCGTCGAGCTGGGTTTGCGTGCTTGAGATGAGTTAGTGAGGAGGTAGGCAGAGGCCACCCACCTTGGCGGGTCTACATTCCACCGGGAGAATAAACGATCACGAAAAATAAAATCCAAAGAATACTAAATGGTGATAAGTGCATTATAAAGAGAAAGAAGAGAAGCAGAGTACAGGAACGAGATAGGTGCAGGGTATGGCATTAATCACAGTGGCCAGGGCACCCAAAGGTGAGCACTAACATAAACGTGGATTCTGGGGGAGAAAAACCTCTGGAAGGCAGCTCACCAATAGAAACAAAGGCGGAGGATGTTGGTGATGAGAGAGGTTAAGCTTAGGGAGACAGGAGAGGTCAGGAATCCCTTCACCTTTTATCTCCATTTTGCTATGAGCCTAAAGACCTCAGGGTTTTAAAGAGATCTTTATTTTAAAGACTTTCTAGGGCATGAGTGGAGCAACCATTGAGAAAGCAATTAGACACTCAGCTCAGGGAAAAGGACAGGGTGATCAGGACAGCAAGAGGGATATGGGACAGTGGGCTACACTGATTCCTCCTAAAGACACTGCAGACAGGATTGCTGACGCCTGGGGTGCTGGGTGTAAGATAGACAGGAGCATCAAAGATGACACCAGGGTGGCTATGTCTAAACTAGTAAGGCTCTCCTTGAGGGCTACAGCTGAGGAAAGAGAGATGGGGGTAAATATATCAGGTGGTGGCAACTAAGTGGAGAAGATTTGATCATTCATCTTCCCACTGGAAGGGCAAAGGAAGGCAGATTCAGATTCACCCAGCATCTTCATAGAAAGCCAACTCCATGATGGCACATGCAAGGTCTGAGGGCATCATAGTGAACACACCACAGTCCCCGACACACAAGTATTTACAAAGCAACAAAATGATATTTGTTATTATTACTATTATTAATGAAGATTTTAGTAAATTAGTGAACCAATCAAATTAAATATCAAATTTAACATAAAATGAATGAATATGAGATGTACGACATAAAATATAAAAATTAATATATAATACAAATTAATCCAAATATAATTTAATTATATTTCATTGTCAATAATATATCCGGATTAATTGATAGTATAATGCTCTGTACTCCCCCAGAGTATTAGATAACAGGGATCTGGGCTACATTGAGAATGAGAAATGGTAGGCGCCCGCCATCACAGTGATGCCTAAAAGCTTTACAGGTGGTGTACTCAGAGAGTAGTGGGCACATGAGAACTGAAGCAACTGTCCCTGAGGGGGTAACTAGGCTGGCTTCGGAGGATGGCTAGGTGGTGCTGGGAGGGGCTGAGAGATCTGGTGAGCTGGAGTTCAGATTGAGGAAAGGGGCAGAGGTGAGGCAGTGACCCCATCTCTTGAGTCTAGATAATGGGCTACCTATCCCACAAAGGTAAGGAATCAGTCTATCTTGTTCCCGCTATGTCTTTGGGACTCAGCACAGTAGCTGGTGATCAGAAGGCTCAGCAGATACCTTTTAAGGACAGAAACAAAAAAAAACCAGGGAACAGATTGGAGGGAATAATGATTTTTTTCCCCCTGGGGTGGAGGGATGCTTTCAATTTAAAAGAAGCTCTAAGCTTCTTGGTAGTGGTTTTCAAAAACCTCGGGACACAGATGCAGCCCTGCCCTAGAGGGCAGCGAGGTGCCAGGTGAGGATGTTCAGGGGCTCCCGTGGCAGAGGCAGGGTACCTGTATTTCCTGGATGCTCTCCTCTTCTCTGGCATCCACCTTTTTCTCCACTCCCTCGCCACGAAGCAAGGCCTCCAGTGTGGTACTCTCAGAGGTGAAGCCATCTTTCTTCAGGGGCAGCTCTACTTCTGGAAAAACCAACAGACAGACTGGTCAGGCACCCAGAAGCCGGCGGGACTAGAAGGGTGATCTTTGGGAACATACAGAGTTCTTGGGGAGGACTCAAAGCAGACCAGGGAACATTCGGGTTAGGTTCAACTTCTCCACCAGTGCAGAATCCCAGAGAAGGTCTCAGTCCTGCCCACTCCAGGAAGCAAGCTTAGGTAGAGCAGAGAGGGTGCCCTCTAGAGGTAAGATCAGACTGCCTGAGTCTCGGCCCTGCCTTTGCCACTCTGAGGGTGTGGCTTAGGGCAAGATGCTCAAGGAGCCTGGAGCCCATTTCTCCACCTATAAAGAGGAACAACAGGGCCCAGGACCACAAGGCTTTTAAAAACGTCCAAGAACACTAACAATGTCTGATTACGATTGTCTCCAAGGTCTCCCCTTGGCCATGCTGGCTGCCCAGCTCTGCTTTGTTCCATAAAAAGCTATCAGCATCAGAGAGGCTGTTCTCATCCACTCAAGGGGAAGCAGAGGCCCCAAACCAATGGAAAAAGAATGACAGAAATGTCCAACAGACCCCGGAGCAGCAGGGTAGGAGGCCATTGCCATGCCAAAGGAAAACTATGGCAAGAGGTAGCACTCACAAACCTGAAGCAATCAGCAAAGCGGGGCATTTTCTACAGTTATTAGCAGCTATCCTGCTGGGCCTGTGAGTCAGTGGGTGCTGTAGTTGGACACAGAAAGTCCCATTCCCCTCTGTGCTCATGTGTTAAAGGCTTGGTTCCCGGATGGCACTATTGAGAGACTGAGAGAGCTTTCGGAGAGGGGTCCTGGTGGAAAATGCCGTGGTCTCTTCCCCCCTTCTCCCTTTCCGGCCACGAGACAAGTAGTTTGCTCCAGGTACACTCTCTCTACCATTGAAATCTGGGGAAGCCCCAAAACTGGGTCTGCCTGACCAGGAATTAGAATATTGAAAACTGTCGGCCAAAATAAGCCATTCTCTTTTTAAGTTACTGTCTCTTATAGTCACAGAAGGCCAGTAAAGCAAAGATAGGGCTGGAAGCAGCCTGCTTCTGAGAGAGACCAAAGAGCGCTTCTGACTCTTCCCCCAAGTGCTCCCCAACCCCTAAGTGCCCCCAAGCCTGAAATACTCCCCAAAACTCTTGACAGAGAATTCTAAATTTAAAAAAAGAAAACTATTTTAAAGGTATTAAGTGATATTTTGGTTTACTACATAATTGTCTTCCAATCTCTCCTTGATCCCAGACTTCACCTACACACATACACATGCACGCACGCACACACACACACACACACACACACACACACGAGGGTACATAGAAGAGTGGAATTAGATGTGTGGTCCCTGCCAACTAAGGTAGTCACAAGAATAACCAAGAGAAAGCAATCTCTCGTTCGCGTGGGAGAATCGAAGATCTAAAGTAGTGCTCGTTGACAGAAGTGTGGAAGGACAAAGGGAGTCAATGTGGAATAGTGGTCGAGCCAGGGGACCATCCCACTGCTGTTCTAGAGAGACGGGGCAGGAGGGGTGGGGGATCCTTGCCAAAGTCCCACACAGGGCTTGGGGCTTGAAGCATAGGCACTCAAGGCCTGGTAAACCCAGGAACCAGTGTGCGGCGCTGTCTCCTCTCATCTTCCATCTCCGCTAGTGGACAGTGGGCTCAGCTGAGATGGCCCCCCGAGGTCAGCTTTCTCCAAGGCACAGAGAACAATAAGGACAAGGGGGAATCTAGAAGGGCAAGTGTAAGACGCCGACACCATCAAAGCCTGAGCCCGCAGGCTCTCTCCAGACTCCATGGGAATGCCACCTACTGCTTCCATCCATCGCCTCCACCAAAACATGCAGGCTGACAGAAGGCCACTGCAGCATCCTTAAAACTGAAGACACATGCAGGGAGTGGCTAGCCCCCAGGGAAGGTTGGAAGAGGTATCTGAGGTCTCTTTTGAGAACTCTCTTACAGAGAGAGAGAGAAAGGAGGCATATGCCCATCAAGAACCATTATCTGGGTCAGCAAGATGGCTCTATACACACACACGCACACACAATTTTTAAAAACACAACCACTGGATCAATAAAACTTTACCATCATCTATTTGACCAATAAATATCTATTGAGCACCTGTCATGTGACAACAAGAGACACACGAGGTGACCAGATAATAGCAGAACTCTGTCTTTGGATATAGCTGTAAAATGTTAACCGTGGGATAAAGATGCAGTTATGAAGTATCTCAGGTGCTACAAAAGGAAACGGGTAAGGGGCAGCTACTTTACTTCAGAGTCGGGGAAGACATGTGTGATGACGTTACAATTAAGTTGAGTGTCAGCACCAACAGTGTTGTCACGAGCCCGCTGGGATGGTGTGTTATTACTCTCGAGTCAGAAATGTCCTCCAAATGCCTAATCCCAAATAATTAAGGTGTGTCGCCAAGTGTCCTGTCCTCAGCCAAACAGCTGGTCACTATCCCTCAAACTTACAATAACTGTATATGTATACACACACACACACACACATATATATATATATGTATATATGAATTTATCCTTTAACCTTCCTGACAATAAATATGTCCAATTTCCAGAATGGCACCATGTTTTTGAGGAGGAAAAGTCCGGTTATCTAATCCAATTCAATCTCCTTTTATATGTGAGCCACTCTAGCTCAGAGACGTTAACCTCACCAAGAGCAGGCAAGAAAGCCAGCAGATGATCTTTCAAAGCATGGTAAATATCACAACAAGAACCTGACTCGTTATACCCTCCTAAGTAAATAACAAGTCCAGGCGGCGCCAGGGTGGTACTTCGGTGCCCCAGTGCACATGCAGAAGACACAGTGAAGCAGAAGCACCCAACATGCAGGAGTTATTATTGCCAGATGCCACTTAATCCCCATCACACTGCAGAGTATAGCTGTATCCCATTTTACAGATGAGGCAGCTCAGCAAAGGGAGGTTAGCACCTGCTTACTGTCTGTCACGGGACTGGAGAGAGGCGAAGTCCAGACTTGAACTCCGCATGCTCCTGCCTAACCATGCTAACAGTGCCCTTCCAGCAGCCCCTTCTCTCTCCCTAAGAAGAAAGAAGGTTTCTTTCCAAAGCTCCGTGCATCCCCACTGCATTCCTAGACCCTCCCTGTGGTTTTCGGATTTCAGGATGAGAGACACATCACCGCTGAGGCTGCAGGCAGTTTTGCAGCATGATACCGAGCTCTGCAAGAAAATCTCAAGAGCGCTCCACCCTCCCGAAACCAAACCCCCAACCCATGCAGAATTTCCCATGGGCTGTGAACTCCCTCCTCCTGCTGCTCTTTCTTCCTCCCCTGCTAAACATGCCTCCATCTTGCCCCCATCCCTCACCCGGTACTTGGTCCTCCTTAACTGGGCTGGCTGGCATGCACAGGATATTAAGAATCAAGAGAGCAAAGGGAACCGAAGTGAAGATGCAGTGGATTCCCAGCATGCAAAGGGCTCCGTGGGCTAGCCAGTGACACCCGGGGTCCAGGCCCTCAGGAGGAAAGCAAAGCACAGAGAGACGGAGGGGCTTTACATCACATGGACCGAGTGGCATCACTCTTCCCTCATTGCCAAAGTATTTTATTTGCTAGTATCGTTTCATTTTCAAGCAGCCCTGAAGTCAGACCCTAGTTAGTCTAGCCTGGGGCAGTTTCTTAACTTACATGGAGCGATACAGGTCTGTACCTCAGAATGTTGGTACAAGCATCAAACAAGGTAGGGGCTGGAGAGACAGCTCAGTGGTGAAGAGCACTGACTGCTCTTGCAGAGGACCTGAGTTCAATTCCCAGCACCCACATAGCAGCTCCCGACTGTCTGTAATCCAGCTCCAAGTATAATCCACCCTCACACAGACATACATGTAGGTAGAACTAATAATAATAACAACAGTAATAATAATAAGAAAGCATTAAAAGAGAACAAAATGGGGAAGAAAGAATCAAGCAAGGTAGCATGTATAAAACTCCAGAAAGATCCACCCCAAAACCTAGTGTGTGGAACATCGTGGGAATGGGGCATGTTGATTTTTTTTTTTTATGTTTGATTCTGTTTAAAGCAAGTTCCAAGTCGGGTGATACCTGAGAAGAATGGGACGGTCTGACTGTCCCACAAATGCCGTCAGTTACTACTGCCAAACTTTATCACTGATGTTAATGGTCCGGCAGACATCCAATAAAAACTATTTCTATCATCCTAAATTTCCTCGTTGCCATGTTTTTAAAAGCCGAGAAACGGGTGCAATTAAGTTTCATATTTTCTCTATCCAAAAATACTACCATTTCAATATGAAATTAATATTTGAAAACTGACGGGACATTTTACACTGTTTTAGACCCCCCTGGCATATATATATTCCCTTTATAACACATCTAAATTCAGACGAGGGTTCCAAAGCCGCATGGGGCTAGTGGCTACCCCACTGGACGGAGCAGTGCTACACCATTAAAGGAAATGCTTAGGGAGATTTTTGCTTTCGGCAAGTGGACGGAATTTAAACGCGGTTTTAATGTTGCCGGCTTAATGCCCGGTGGAGTACCATTCCATGAGCGGCATTCAGGCTGACCTCTGGCAAACCCTGTTCACAAAGCATTGTGGGTAAGGCTTGGATAGTCAGAATGAAAGGCTAACCTCACCCCCCCAGACAACCCTGCAGAGGGTACATTCTCTGCCTCTGAACCACAGGGGGGTCCCAGAGCACATCAATGAGAAAGGTGACGGGCCCAAGCTCTCCCACAATGTCCATACTACACACACTGAGAGCCCTTGGGGATGTCACTGATTCAATTTCCTTCTAACATGGCTCATCTGGTTATAGGATCCAATGACCCTTTAAAAGGCTGCTCTTGTTTAACCTCACACAAAGTTGGGAGACCACATAATCCGACAGGAACCATCAAACATTTAACATCAAAAGAAAATGGACCAAAACACACACACACATAATTCATCTTTAAGCCAGTCTGATTTTATACACACGGATACAAACCTATGG